TGACAGGCAATAATTTGGTCTATTATATTCTGCCATTTAATTGCCTAGTACAGACATTCTCTGACACATTATGAAGCAATGATTTACAATTATTCAAGCTGCAAAGGTCAGAAAGTGACATTATAATCATCTACATAGAGATCCCTTCTAATGCACAAAAACTAGGTAATGCCACACACACACACACACACACACACACAGAGTTTAACTGCATTAGTAACTTTCTATTTAAGGTTTCTTAAGCCAAATAAGAATAAACAGCTCATAAGCACATTAATACGCAACAGAAAATGTCTAGAATCTTTTCATGAACCCGGATGTAACAGACTTAAGAAAATGCCCTTACACTCTCCCGATTAGGTAAGTTCTACTCAACTACTTAACTCCACACACAAGATTCAAGACCAGACCCAGGGAAGTCCCTCAGAAAACAACATAATCCTCAGACTATGCATTCCGGGGTCTCTGTAAATTACAGCGTGCACCGGTCAGCTAGCACTTCTGAGGGTTACAGAAATCACAGGCTACTTACTAGTTTGCTACTCTTTTTTTTCCCCCTAAGTAACTGTTCATAAAAAACAAAAACAGTGATTGAAGCTGATCAATCGTCACCCCTCTCGTCCTAATGAAAAGATAATAATATCCACACCTGTCTTGGCACTTAATTCTATTACACCATGTTCAATTTGTAACCACTCAAGTGCAATAAATTATCAACACATGCACAACAATGGGGAAGAATAATAAAATTACTGAAAACAACGCTTTAATGTGAGAAAGTGAAACAGAGAGAGAGACACAAAAACAGACTGAATTCCAGAATGTTGAAGGAAAATACCATGCAAGCAAGTTTTCAAAAGAACATAAACCTGAGCAAAAGCAGAAAACAAAAGTGGCTAGGGGCTCAGAGGACGTAAATTATAGTTATTACGTTTTGGGGAAAACAACCTAGAGAGAAAAAATTAAGTACAAATTAAAGTAAGCAACCAAAACAACAGATAATGCACAAAGCAGAAAAAATTTTTAATAAAAATAAATGAAAAAATAAAAGGACAGTTAAAAGTAAGGAAACAGTGGTCTACTCTTACTAGTGCATAATTTGACTCCATCACTAAAAATACTTTTAATCTCAAGTTTACCATCTGTACAATGGGGATAATACACATGAGATGATCAATATCATGACACAATGAGATCAACAAATGAGATGAATGTTAATGGAGGTGAACACCAAACCACAGCACCACATAAACACTATTTATCATTGATAGTATCACATACAGTGTTACATGTGTGGATACACACAGAGACAGAGAGACTTAAATTTAAACAGATTTAACAAAACATGGGGTTTATAAGCCACTGAGATTTCAAGTTGTGTTTTTAGGAGTCAAATGTAGAAACCACTGATTTAGTGAAATATGTTTCACTTATTTCTACACATATGTTCCCAACAAACGTGACTCACTTCCACAGAGAAGTGTTCTATTATTTCTTATTCTCTCCCCCACTAGCCCCTGTCAGATCCACAGCACGTGCTCATGTGAACTACCCATTCTGGGCTGAATATAAATACACCTATGCTCTATAAAGTTCCTCTTGAGATCACATTCACATGTAAGAAAACATTAAGAAATGTATTCTTCAAAAGCTCCTCCTCCTAAAAGTGAAAGTAAAATAAAAGACTTCTAAATAAAGTGATCAATAACAGGTTCTTAAAACAAGAAGTGCAAAGCAACGCATTTTTGAAATTTTTACAACAGGAGCACATAAACCATGGGTACACAACACTCAAATCCTGAATTCTGTACCTTAGCTACCTGATAGGAATTAGACCTCTAACACATGCAGCTACTTTTGTGAAACTAACTCAAATTTATGATACACCGTAGCTAAGATCTGCTGATGAGGTAGAGAAAATCATCTTAAAATCCAACTTAAAGATTCAAAGAAAAATCACTGTAGGTCCAAACAACTGAAATAAAAGTTTAAAAGGCAGCCTTTGTTAAGGCAAGAGCTAACACAACTCTTCAGGCAAGCTTTAGTAGAAGTATACAAGATACATATCTGATGAGCATCTATAACCTTCTTCTAGAAAGATCTATAAAGACATGAAAAACCAATTACAAAGAATCTAATGTTGTGCTCAGTTCAACAAAATGCACGGTTTGTTATTTCCATCCATTTCACTATAAAATATGAGCTTTTTTCAAGAAAAGCAAGCATCACTAAGACAAAACAATCCAACATTGTAATAACTTCATTTCTAATATGTCTGCTCCATTGTTTTTATATATTATTAGTCAGTCAGAACTATTTGGAAAACAGTTGATTTTCTTGCAATTCAGGTAATGAAAAGGTTATTCATAAAATTCTAAAAGCAGAGATGAAGATACTAAGTATTACAGAAAGGAAAACACAGCGCAGGACCTTCTGTTTGTGACAAAATTATAGAGTTAATGTTCCTGAAAGATCACTTCACCTTTTAAAGCATGGGTTTTTTTTTTTAAAGGTAAAATTTATAGCAATTAGAGCTAATGAAGAAACGCAGCACGAGCTGCTTATGTTCGGGAACTAATAGGTCCACTGAGCGTCTCCAAGACTATTTACATCAATGATAATGGATTGACACTGTCACTGATTGACACTGTCACTAATGTCAACGTACCAATGCCACCGCCACTAACCTGATAGCCAACTCTTGCTTTTTATCATGTTTCTCACTTCAATTTTTAACCTCCATACCGCCCCGTCCGTTGGAAACACAGGAAGTACAGAACGCGCTGTCATACTTTTTCTTTCCCCTAAAAGGCTTCTAACTCATTACTGCTCTGTTTCAACTCCACAGGCCAACAAGCCTTCTTCAGTTTACTACAATCTTCAGAACTTTTAGCTTTGCTGTGAAAACATGTACCCTAGAAAAATTATTGTTCTATAACTTTTAAATCAAATTTCACTTACAAAAAATTAAGACAACTATTATTTCAAAGTCAAATAAGGGGCGCCTGGGGGGCTCAGTAGATTAAGCGTCCGACTTTGGCTCAGGTCATGATCTCATGGTTTGTGGGTTCGAGCCCCGCGTCAGGCTCTGTGCTGAGGCTAGCTCAGAACCTGGAGCCTGTCTTCAGATTCTGTATCTCTCTCTCTGACCCTCCCCTGCTCATGCTCTCTCTCTCTCTCTCTCTGACTCTCAAAAATAAATAAAAAACATTAAAAAAAACATAAAGTCAAATAAAATTCAATGACTGCCATAATTCTCACAGATACAATTTGGGAACCTAGATGGTTTCTCCCAGGCTCACACGCGTATGCAGACCTCTGAGGCCTCAGTACACAACTCAATACACATACATGTATTCATAACTCTTCATCTTGGGAATCAAATATATAGACCACAAGCGTAACATGTCAGTGGTGTGTGGTAACAAGTAATGAGCCAAGTGAGTTTAAAAAGGACAATCAAAGCCAATTGATCTTGTACTGTTTTTGATGCTACTTAGTTCAGAAACTATTCTCTGAAAAAGTTTCTTCTTCTCCTTCCCAAGACTTAGTAACCTTAATAAGAAAATGGATGGAATTAGATTTCTAATAACAGAGCACGGAAAAACTGCCTCCATATTTTGAGGACACAAGGAAGAAACTGCTCAGTGTCACCTAACAGCAAATTTTCACTGGAGTCAGGGCCTTCCTCCTTCCTACAACTCATATGGTAAAAACAGTAAGACATCTTTTAAAATTCCAGGACCTAGAGCCATTAAAGTGAACCATTTGGCACTCAACCCTTGCAGCTAAAACCAGTAGCAACAAAACTCATTCCCCCACTGATCTTCAGGGGGCTTGAGGGCAAAGGTTCATCTTCATTTACTTTAGCTGCAAGTCACTGAACCATCAATTCTGCCAATGAATAAATCACAGACCATGGTTAATAAAACTGCTTGCAAAGTTATTTGTAAAACTATCTTAAGGGTCAAAAAACGCAATGGCATCCTGGGATGAAATTACTGCCCAACAAAAGACAGAAGCTGTTTTTGACTAAAAGATATTTACCCAGTGGTGCCAAACAGAAAGAAGATTCTTCCGCTAAAAAGGGAAATCTAATATAACATGTGCACAGTCCATAACTTAATTGAGCCTGTAGTATTTAGGGAATCAGCCATGAGAACTGCACGTTTCTCAGGTTTACAGAAAGTGTTTTCATATGATGCACTTATTAGTTAATTTCTCCAGCATAATAGCATTAAAATATATTTTTAATCAGAGGGAGGGTATTAAAATCCAGCTCTGAATGTCCTATGATATACCACAGATGTCACGGCATTTTAAAACCTTTTAAACATTTCTGCTAAATTAATTAGTTGTGCATTAAGGCATCTCATTGCTTCCTATTAAACGCAACACATCTGAGTGACAGTTTAACACCAGCAACGATTCTTTAGAGGAAGAGCCATTAGCTAAAAATGGCAAACAAGTTTTGAAATAAAGTTACACAAAAACATACAATATACACTGTTTATTTAAGCTTCATCTCTGCAACCATCAGTAACCAACTGTCTGAAACTGCATCTTTTTCTGCCTTTCTCCTTATGGAATATGTCCAGTATATCTAGCCATTAATGTGATTAAAAATTAAAGCAGTGTGGCAAAAGAAAAAAAATACATATACACTCCTAAAGCGGTATTATATTTTTTTTTTTATGTCTTTAAATGGAATTTACAGTTCTCTCTGGCAATGGGAATGAACATCCTATAATTTAGTCAATTTACAGATTACAGGTTCAAATTGACCTTGTAGCCCATAAAATTGCTCATCTTCAGCAGAGGATTAGAAGTGGGAGAAGAATGTCATAACTGTATTTAAGGAATTTACCATAACAATGGAAAGGAGGGTACGCATGCATAATTTTAGCCACTCTCACTCGGATCAGTTCTGAACTCTGAAACAATGGCTATCCCGCACGCGGTCCCTGGCTCACCAGGCAGAGCCAGCTCGATCTACTCACCCACAGACATGACACTTGTACTCCCTCATCCCAAGGTGCCTTTTGACATGGTTTCTGGCATCGCCAAGCTGAGCTGTTGCGAAATGGCATATCTTGCACTTGAATGGTTTTGATCCTGAGTAAATTTAACATAAAATATGATTTGAATTTGAATAACACATTACTGATAGTTTAAAAAGAGGCCTAGATCTTAAATCATACTTTTCATCCGATTAGAAATTTCTGGCCCCAAAACGGAATACTTGCATTCCTTTCTAACTTGAATAGACCTGCATTCCGTAATTATTCCACCAAGAAGACTTTAATGTTTCAGGGAGTGTTCCTAACTTTCAGTAATAACACTCCTAAGATTTAAAGACCAATGTGATACCGCTGAGCAGTACGAAGCGTATCAGGTGAACTAAGTAATTTTAAATATTTTTCTACCAATTCACAAAAACATCTTTAAAAGTCGCTCAACATTTAAAATGGAACACTATAAAACACAAACGCATACAGAGTAGCTGACATTTTTTTAAAGTATATTTATCATCAAATAAATTCCTCACCAGCCACCTCCCTTCCTACTATTTCTGCAGCTTTGAATTTATTCACATTAAGAATGGCATTTCAGATTTTTTTTCTGACATTTATCCCAAGTGATTCACTATATTACTATTTTAAGAGCACAGAGTGTAAGAATATACAACGGATAAGTTATCTGCTTTTATGATCACTTTATAGTCAACAATCTGTGATGATTCTGCAAACCAGGAGGTACTGACCTTTTATTTATTACTGATTTCAAGAACAAATACTTCATCATATAAAGCATAGTACCAACAATTTTTTTTTTAATTTCATAAAGAAATAAGATTAACCTATACTCAAAACTGAGAAAACAAACTGATTTCAGAGTCGACAAACATGGCATCGGTATTAGGTAGACTAGAGCTGGAACACAGTTACTCACAGATAGTCGGTACCCACATGAATGAGAAGCAATACTCCTTTAACAAGCATATACCACTTTTTCAATTTTCTAACCACTAAGTCCTCAAACAAATAAATCAAAATCATAAAAACCACAGTCTAGAATCAGTACAACATGTTTCCAGATCTTTCGTATCATGTTTAGTACCTATCTGGTGAAGTACCTCTTCCAATAGAGTTAGACAGAATATGAAATATGTGAACTTCAATAAATATACAAAAAGAGCTCAAATAAAAAAATTGCAATAAATCACATTTGATCAATGAACCTTTGTGCAGTGCCCTTGAAAAATATAATCCTCCAAGAATACTTTGTTGAAATTGAAGCACTCAGTAAAAAATTTTAGAGTCTTAAATTTCAATTTAATTCCCAAAAGCTGACAAAAAAAGTGAAGCATTTAATTTTAATCTTCTAACAGAAATAAAAAAGTCAACAGTACTAAGCACGGGCAGACAAGGTTGAATACTTCACAGTTCAATGACAATGAAGCCAGATCTCTTAATACTTTCACTGCTGCTGTTAGAAGTAGATGTAAAATATATTTAGCACCTGAATGGTTATATCTAGTCAGCTTTATCTGTTTAAATGTCAACAGCAGGTTGAGACCACAGCTTGCAGTGATCACACCCTATCAATCACATTAGAAACTACAGTTTATTTAAATGATTCTGATAAAACTAAGCCTATCACTACCTGGAAACATTTCATCTGACACAGAATTCTATAAAGGGACATATAAAAGAAGAGAGTGAGAAGAACCAATTTACCTGTACTTTAAACTGAAATGCATTTAGGTAATTAGGAAATTATTAATTAACAATAGCACCAGGACTCCAACCAAAGACAATACAGCTCTCTTGACATTTGCATGACACTGTTGGTAAAAGGCTTTTACAGTATCCTGTAGCCCTAAGTTTCCTCACGCGCGCCCTGCACTGGCCCTGCGAGGAGTCCCACCTGAGCCAGTGCACCTGCCACGGGGGCTGGACACAGACCCTTCCCTCCACAGGACGAGGCTCCTCAGTGAAGACCTCTAGTTCTTCTAGGTCCCAGTGATCACTGCTCCGGTGCTGACAGCACGTTAATGAGTTACCCTGCTGACTGCTTTCATGCAGAAATCACTGAGGTCCTGACTATTTTTCACATCTTCTATTCAGAACAGACTGTGTTAACATCTCCTTTCTATGCCATAAAAATTCCAGGGAACTGGAGATCATACTTTCCTGCCTAAGGGAAAAAAAAAAAAAAAGAGTCCTCTTTTTTCTAATATGTTTCCAGTTTGAAGCTGGCTACGCACATCCCAAGATGAATCCAGGCATACTGTTAGTGAGGCAAAATCTGTACAGTTATGTATTTCTCCATTTGTCTTGTTCACAAGTATACTGTGATTATTATAAACTGTCAATATTACTTTAAATAGTTCCATTCCTGGGAACAGCATTATCCTCACTGGGTTGTTTTGTTTTTTTTTTTTCTTTTAATTTGGCCTCTGAGGGTTATTATTTTACTTTTTTTAGTATGTATTTATTCTTGAGAGAGAGACAGACAGACAGAATGTGTGTGGGGAAGGGGCAAAGAGAGAGGGAGACACAGAATCTGAAATAGGCTCCAGGCTCTGAGCTGTCAGCACAGAGCCCAACACGAGGCTCGAACCCACAAACCAGGAGATCGTGACCTGAGCCAAGGTCAGACACTTAACCCACTGAGCCACCCAGGTGCCCGTCTGAGGTTTTGAAAGGGAAAAACAAAAGGGACTCTCTAGTTTTCTGGCACCTTACAATTGTACCAAAAGAATTCCAAAGACTTCTAAAACTAACTCTTCACCCAGACCTACACGGGCGCTCCTCTGAATCAGGCACTGCCAACTGCTGGGTGTGCACGGATGTGACATCAACATTTAAAACGTGATATGAAAACTTTAGGTCTTAAAGAATGAAGTACAATGTACAGAACTTCCCAATGACAGCCTCCATGCTATAATCCTCCCTAAACTCTGAAAACTTCCTTCCATCCTTCATCCCCTCATTCAGCAAACGACACTGGGAGCCAGGTCCGGGAGGGGCCCAGAGACCAGTGCTGACCAGCGCCAAGCCCCTGCTGGGGCTATGCTCAGAGTCAACAGACCACCTCTCCTCACCACCTCTTCTTAAGCTGATTCAGCTTCTAAACTGCCGGACAGATACTAAATGCAACACTACCAGCCAGCTGTAGCCTGAGAATTTTTCAGTGAGGTCACACAGCTCTCCACCTCCCTGAATATGAACATTTCCAAACAGCGCACGTGACCAGTGTACTCAGAACACCAAAGGAAGGGTTTCCGACTGTCTTCTAACTGACATCTGCCACATTATAAGAAAGTAAAGCTCTGGGGCACCTGGTGGCTCAGTCGGTTAAACAACCGACTTCGACTCGGGTCACGATCTCACAGTTTGTGAGTTTGAGCCCCACATTGGGCTCCGTGCTGACGGCTCAGAGCACGAAGCCTCCTTCAGATTCTGTGTCTCCCTCTCTCTATCTCTCCCGCTCCCCTGCTCATGCTCTGTCTCTCTCTAAAATAAATAAGTATTAAAAAAATTCTTTTTAAAGGGAAAAGAAAGTAAAGCTCTAACCAACGGAATAACGCAGGAGAGGAAACGCACTGCTCCGAATGTAACGGGAAAGGCAACACTGCCCTTTCTGGTCTTGCTGATGACTTCACACCAGCAAAGGCACAGGAAAACTCTGGGATGCTTTTTTCCTACAATTCTTGATAACCAAAACTCATTTATTTCTTAGAGTGCTGCTTTTATCGCGCTAAGGATGGGAAGGAAAGGTTACATGAAATAGGGAGTAAATCACCAAATATGAAAACAGGGATTGGAAGAGTAAGTCCTTTTCCGGTTAACCATCAATAACAGTCCCTGCATTACTACTTCATGGACATAAGCAAAGGATCAGAAAAGCAATTCATTTTAAAATGCCCCAAGAAAAAAACCTTGGATTAAAATTGGGAGAGCGACATCCCCCAAAAAGTGGCTTGCAGAATTGCGAGGGGAGGACTGGCACTGTAACTCAGGAAGGGGGCTCTCTGTGGTGCTTGGGAACACAATAACAATGTGCTTGCAGATAAGCCAAGCAGAAGATGTTAAAAAGTATGCTAACTTTTACTAAATGTTACAATCAATGATGTAACTTATATAAGTAGGGTTACTTTGTCACATATTGATAGTTACCTCACTTTCACATCCACATTAACTTGATTTTAAATGCAATTAATACATATAGTCAAGGAAGACTAATGGACTACATTCTGCACTTAACCTAGTGGACGTTTTCAAATGGCACAAGTGACCAGTGCAAACCTATTTTGCATTGTAAACGACTAAATAAATCTTAATGGATTAAGAATGATCAGCTATCAACACACAAGGGAAATTAAGTGCTGAAATGCCTACATTGATTATTTTAAATTATTAGCCTTACTCTGTTCTTGAATTTGTATGCTTTTAGTGAGCTTTAACACATTTACAAGACTTATTGACTATAATTACAAGAGAATTCAAGTAATGGACACATCAATTATAAGCAACATGTCTTGACCAGACAGTTGCATAAAGAATTCTAAAAAGAGGTCCATTAGCATCTTTCTCTTAGTTTTTATTCAGTTTTATCTGCCTTAAGAGAGCATGTTAAGAAAGTACACACTTTCTACACACGTGAACAAGCCTGATTTCTAAAATCCATATCATTTCATAAAGTAAACTGCAAGCACAGTGCTGACAGAGATATTAATAATGCCAACAAACAGAATCTGGATTTATTTACTCCCCAACAGCTCCCCTACAGGAAGAGTCAGGACCAGGAACACAATGTTTATATTTACCTAGATTAATCTGATGCAGGTTGTCCCGTTACTTTCTTCAATAAGAAACTTTTATCTGTCTTTAATCTCCCTAAACTAGCAATGTTTCACACTCTTTTGTCTTCCTCCTTGTAACCATGCACTAAGTTTCAAAAACTGCAAGAATTTAAAGTATAGCTTTAATAATAAGCCATTATTTAAAAGTACAGTAAAATAAACCTTACAGTTTTAATGAAAATATGTTCATTGAAATGTGAATTTATTATTCAAATCCACTCATAAATTCAACCATGGAGACAGAACTTGTCTAAGCAGAGCACAATGATTTAGAAAAGCTGTCTATTTAAAATAAAGAATGTATGGCAGGTTTATAGAAACAGTGCAGTGAATTTTTACATAAATTTAGAACAGTGGCTTATGCATTTTCCACAAAAAAAAAAAGTTTAAAAAAAATTTCCACCCCAAATTAAACATTAAGATGGAACCCTACATCTGACAGAGCAGAGAAGCTGCATCCGGTGCTGCCTTCATGAAAACCACACCCCAGGACTCGCTAACTTCAGGAAGTGCCCCTGACTCTGACCCAGAAAGTAGAATCTTCTTGCCTGCGAGTTACACTTTTCAAAATAAACCATATGAATAATCTTAAATTCCCCCAAACCTAAGAAAATTTGTATTTCATTCCTCAAAAGCCATTTAATGTGTCCTCCGAAATGCACGGGGCCACTTGGTTAGCTGCCTTGGAAAACCGAACAATGAGAATGAAGAAAACAACCGAAAAGCTGTTCAGAGGCGGGAATTTAACAAAGGCATCAAAGGGGAAAGGCTTTTTGATGGAGTGAAAAGACATCTGTCAAATCAGCTGCCTTGGAATCACTAAGGCCCAATTAACTTTGGAAACGTCAGACATCAACAGTGACGTGTGGCAGATGTCCAGAGTGTGTGCAATGGGGTGACATGAGTCGGGGGGAAGACCAAAAGGCAAGCCTACTAAGGACTCCACGTTCGGATGGGAACCAATGTCCCAACTTTACCATTCGTTTGCACTCTCTAGGTAAACACAGGTTTGCTGAAGCGTACGTACCTGTGTGAGTGCGAATGTGTGCTAGGAATGCCATCGAATTGCTACTTCGACACATCTTGCCGCAATATTTGCAAACGTTTCCCTGATTTTCTTCTCTCTCGCGGTTGATTTGCTCAGTGTCTTCCACTATGTACTTATTCACCTCCCGCAGCAGTTCTTCATGCTGCCCTTTAATATGGAGAAATAAATTCTGTTCTGAATCAAAGGGCTCCGTGCACTTGACACATTTAAACGTGGCCCCCCCCTCAGGAAGCTCCTCCACGCTGGCCTGCTCATTCCTCATGTGACCAGCACTAGCCAAGTGCTGATGAAGGTTGCTCTCGGTATAGAATGACTTTCCACACAGCAAACAATGAAAGTGCTTCTCTTTAGTAGGGTGCTTCATGGCTATGTGCACATTCAGTCCGCTCAAACCATCTGCTAAGAAGCCACAATCATCACAACGAATTCGTGTGGATTCACCAAAGGAACCACCTTCAGATTTTTTCTTTTTCACTCCTTGGGCACAGTCTTTTAAGGGCAACTCACTAATCCTCACGCCTGTGGTTAGGAGACGCTCTTCAGACTGGTCTAACAACTCACCATCTTCAGGGCTCTTTATTCTTATTATGGAAGAATCAAACCGGCCAAAACTATACATGGCCTGTCCTTTGTCATCAATACTGATTATAGTTTCATAAACATCATTGCTTTCAACAGTGCTATCCGAAGCTGGACCATCCTCTTCCAAGATAATTTTAGTTTCATGTTGGGAATCCATCAGAATCTCCTTGTTCTCCCGAACGGGGTCATCTTGGGTATCTTTCAAGTCCTCTGAACTCTGCACACTTCCAGCATCGTTCTGACCACTGCTCTCCAGGCCCTGCTCCTGGCTCGTCCTTGTCATCACAACAGGGACGGTGCTTTCGGCCGGATGCCCTCCGTCTAGGCCTCCAGGACATCCGTGTTTGCTAAGGACCTCATCCGCAGTCTCGCCCACATGTCCCATGTCACTCCCGCCACCCGTGCTTGGACCACCAATGTCATTCAACATGCTGTGGGTTCTCTGCACTGTTTCATACTCCAAAGCTGAACTTCCTGCATTTTCACTCTGAAATCTGCTCGGGGAGCCACAGTTAGAGGCAATATTAAGGGACACCACGTCCTCTGGTTTCAGAGCTTTTTCGTTGACAAGGGGCTGTTGGAAAGTTTCACAAAAGGAATGCTCTTCACTGAGATTAGATTCTTCTTCAGTCTCAATTTCTACAGAGTCGGGAGCACGGAGTACCTTAGACACATCCAGATTAACATTCTCATCCAAAACGGAACAATCGGCGGTACTTCTAGATTTCAGAATTTCTTCAGAGGGTTGGTCTGAAATCACTTGATAGTCTTCAGAATTTTGCTGATGCTGCTCTTTGGGTATAATGATATTCTTGGGCATGTCTGCAGAACTTGCTTCTACGTCTGAAGAGTTCAGGTAAGACTGCCTCTTCACCTTGTGTTTTTCTGTTGCCGCATGCCTCGTCATCTCTCGACGGGTCACAGCGTAGTAATCGCAGGCCATGCAGTAAAAAGCAAATTCTTTCGTATGCTTCCGTTTTATGTGCAGCTCTAGAGAAGCAGAAGAGTGGGCATTAAACTCACAGTGTGCACACTTATTATCACTTGCACCCGTCGCGTCCCCCTGCTGGACAGGGCCCTCTGGTTCCAGACACATCTGTTCCTTTTTATCAGGAAGATGACTGTCAGCTTCCCCATCCACAGAATGATATTCATTTTCCACATCGACTTCAGCTGGATTTCCGTGCTCTGCTGCTGGCTTTTCTGAAACGGACGCGTCTGATTCAGCGGACCTGGTAACGTGCTCCCCTGAGACCACTGACGTGACATTCTTTCCACAGGATTCGAGGTTGCCCCCTTCAGGGCCGACAATGATGTCTGAACTCTGTTTGCCACTGGCTTCTACTTCTACCCGTCCTTTATGCTTCTTAGTAGCACAGTGGCGCTCCATATCCCCCTTGGTTACGGTGTAATACTTACACACTTTGCACAAATAACTGTATTGGTGACTGTGCTTCCGTCGAATGTGAACAGTCAGGTTTGTAATGCTAGAGGCCAAGAGACCACAGTGAGAACATGTCCGTGAGAGGTTACCTTTTGGTCTCCCTCTCTTCGGGGTGGCGGTCAAAGCGACCTCCCCCTCTTTGGTCATCTCACCAGACTGCGACAGTTCCTTGGTGGTCAGCATGCTCTTTTCGAGGCAGACATGCTCCTGTAACTGCATACCTTCAACGTGGCCTTCTACCCTTCCGTTCCCGGAAACCTGAAACTCTTCTTTCTTATCATTTGCACCTATACACACCCTTTCAATACATTCTTCAAAACTTAAGCCAATATTATTTTTCTTGGCATTTTCGAGATGCTTGCTTCTCTTAATGTGCTTCTCCATGCCTTCTTTGCTCAATGAGTAAAGATTACATGCTTTACAAAGAAAGTGATAGTCCTGACCGTGTCGGAGCTTTATGTGTCTTGTGAGAACAGTGGAAGACCTTGTTTTATAAAAACACTTCTTACACTGAAACTGGGGCTTACTTGAATGCCTTACTTCATGTCCATGGCTCACCCGGCACTTGGCAGGGTCTTCCTGCACTGCCTTACCCGACTCACTCACAGAATCTTTCGTACTCTCTGATTCTAAAGTACTTAAGGGTAAAGACTGTGAGACCAAATCATTGTTAAGTGGTTGAGAAGTCTTTGGTTGAACCAGTAAACGAATATGCTTCTCAGTTGTTCTGTGCTCCTCCAGGCCCTCCTGTGACAGGAAGAACAGACTGCACGGAGCACAGAGAAAACACAGATTGTGCTTTTCCTGCATGTGCTCTCTAAGCTGTAGTTCATTCTCAGAACTAAACGAACAGCACTGACAAGTGAGGACAGTGGCCGTGGGCTGGTGCTGGCTGTCGTACAAACGCCTGTCTGAGCCCCTCCTCGACGGGCCGGACAAGTCACGCTCCTGGCAGCGAACCTTCACCTCTCCGGAGGGGCGCTCCTCCCCGCGCGTCTCCAGCTCTGTCCTATCTGTCGCTACCTGAGCACAGTCTGTGCCAGGACACGTCTGAAGATCGGCAGCTGGCCTCGCGGTGGGGAAGTCAGAGGAGCACGCGAGACGGGAACCTCTTCCGTCCTGCTTCGGGTCCCGCATTTCTGAAGAAGTTGCACACGGACTGCGGACACTGCCACTCGCAGACACAGCATCGCCTGTTTTCACCTGGGTTCTCAAGTGTTTCATATATGCCCTCTGGGCATCAGTAGTTGCTCTTTTACTAATCCCTAACAGAGTAAACCTTTTCTTTGCCTGGCCTTTTAAGGAAAAAGTGCCACTTCGTCGACGGAAGCTGCCGCCCAACGTGAGGACGTTTCGCTCGGGTCTCGGTCTTGAGGTTGCACTGATACCGTGTGCTGCCTGTAGGCTATTTCTGGTAGATTCCAATTTACCTAAGAGGCCCTCTGAGCTTACCAAAGCTAACTTTTTAGTTTTACCCTGGTTTTCAGGATTTCGAGCTATGCTGAGAGAAGTTACGTTTTCTTCAACAAGCTCTACATTCTCCGACGGAGTATTCCTGGATGCCACCATTTCAACAAGCAGCTCACTGCTACTTCCACTTTGCTTAGAAACGCTTGCTCTGAAATCCTTAAATTTGCTTCCGACACTCCGTAATCCTTTTGAATCACTAGCCTTTGCTATTGGTTTAGAAGCTCTCGGTTTTACGCGAACATTTTTGGCTCCCATGGAACAAGATTTCTTAGGAAAGGGCTGCTTGGTTAAGATCTGTACAAATCCTCCACGAGCAGCAAGATTCTGACGCCGGAGGTGCGTCTTGCCAAGATAATGTGCGTTCAACAGGTTTTCTTCCACGCACTGGAAGCCACAGAGATCGCAGGAGAAGAGCTGCTGTGGCCCGTGGGCCTGCCGGACGTGCGTGTGCAGCGCCATGCTGCTCTCGGCCTTGTGGCTGCAGTGACAGCACGCGTGTTCCCTCGGGGGCTGCAGGTGACACTCGGCATGCTTTTCCAAATCTGAGCAGGAGGAAAACAGGTGACCGCATACGTCGCACTTGAGAACCGCATCCACGTTTCCAACAGTACAGCTGACACCGATCTCTTCCAGGGGCAAAGGGGAGTCTCTTTCCGGGCCAAGGGAAACCATTTCCTGAGCAGACGTCTTTTCGGTGTCTGTTCTCAGAGAGACAGCATCCGTGGAGCGGAGACTGCAGGGCGGGGAGAAGGCACCGGGGAGACACGTGCCTCCGTCGAGGCGATCGTCCGGGAGCGTCTCCTTCACGGTCCCGCCCAACGGGATGCGCACCTCGGGGACTGTGCTCTCAGAAGCTTCTAGCCCGTGAACGCCCTGCACCTCACACTGTAGGTGCTCAGCCTCGGCTGATAATTTCATTCGCTTGGAAGCATGCTTGTTCCCATCTTGCCCCACGGTGGCACTGCTAAAGTCTGAGGACTCAGGAAAACCTCTCTTGCTGGTGGAATTCTCAGAGGAATTTGCTATCACATCAAATACGGGTCCACAGTCTTCATGAGATGAAACACTGCTGGAGTCTTTTGCTTCTGTGTTTGTATTTTCATCCTCATCATTCTCTGGCTTCTTCTCGGTGTCCATCATTAATAATGCCGTGCGTCAGGGCGGCTCACTCGGCCCTCGTGACCTGCGAAGGAAGCAAACATAGTATCACACCTCTGCGCAGAAAGAACACACACACATTAGTCAGGCCACAAGTCAACATAAAGGGACACACTGAATGCAAAAGGCATCATAGTGTCAAGATTTCCTTTCTGTTGAGATGAACTTGATCCCATCGTGACGTCCTTACAAAGAGTGTGAAGTCAGTTTTGGGGACACGGCGGACTCAGGAAGCAACAACTGCGGCATCTCTGACTGAAAAAGTGTTCTCAGCCAGCTTGCAAAAATGCTCCCATGTTTCAATTCTCTTTACCAGTACATTTCGGCTCACTTTTTTTAAAAAGAGAAGCCCTCTTGTCAAGTTTCTTTTCAGTGAACACCCCCCCCCCCCCCCGACAAACACCTAAAACCAGACTTCTGTGAAGCAGGCCTGGAAGTCGGGCCTTCCCCTCGGTAGCCTCCCAACAGAAGCCCAAGCCCCAGGGAAAAAGGACCAGAGTTAAAGAACAACAGCTTCATCCTCCCCCGCAACAGCAAAGAGCCTTACCACGGTTTTCCTAAATATATCCTAACTAACAATATGCACATTCTCATCACACATCACTGTTCCTGCTCAAACCCTGAAGCCAATGAAAAGCCACTCCTGTCCCCGCTGTCCATCACCCGTTTCCTCACCTAACAGGCCTGCTGTACTGTCTGAAGGTCAAGGACAAACAGAAATGTCGGCAGGAGAGCAGGATTAATGAAGCAAACTTTGGGGGTAGAAAAAAATTTCACTGAATAAAATGCTTTAAAATCAATAATATTGATTTTATTCTTCATTATGCTGTTTAATTCAATTAAAACATATCATTTTCCATTTACTTTACACCAGGACTGGAATTTTCAGCCAAATGCTATTTGATTTGATGTGACCAAAAAACCATCACATATTATGGCCTCAAGCTAATGATAACTATTTTTAACTATTTTAACTACTTTTTTCATAACAATGACAAACCAAATGAAGGCTGCTGCTTTGACTCTGCTTAAGTGGGAAATGAATAAACACACACACACACACACACACACACACACACACACGACTCAAAAGCATGAACAACAGAAGAAAAAGTAGCTAAATTGGGCTTTGTCAAAATTAAAAATTTCAAACAACCATAAGCTTTAACACGATCAAGAAAGAGAAAAGACAACCCATAAAATGGAAAAAACATTTTCCAAATCATCTGTCTGACACAGGACTTAATCCAGAATATAGAGAGAACTCTTAAACAACTCAGTAATAGAAAAACAGACCAATTTCTAAATGACCAAAGGAGAATATACATTTCTCCAAAGAAGATACACAAATGGCCAAAAAGCACACAAGAAAACAGATTCTCTATCAATGGTCATTAGAGAAACGCAGACCAATATCATAACCAGCACGTCACTCTCGTCAGGGAAGCCAGAATCCAGCGTCATAGAACAACAAGCGTTGGTGAGGACAGGGAGAGATGAGAGCCGTGCAATGCCAGTGGGTGGGAAATGATGACATCACTCTGGAAAACAGTCTGGCAGACCCTGAGACGATTATGATACAGCCCATCAATCCTGTTCCTAGGTGTACACCCAAGAGAAATAAACCATAGGTCATCGCAAAAACATGTACACAAATGTCTACGGCAGTATTATTCGTAATAGCCAAGAGGTAGAAACAACCCAAATGTTTATCAGTGGATTAATGGAAAAACACAATGAGATATGTCCATATCCACACCATGGAATATTCGGTACAAGAAGGAATGAAGTACTGACATTTGCCACAGTATGCATGAGCCCTAGAAATGCTAAGTGAAAGAAGCCAGTTACAAAAGACCACATACCACAGGATTCCTCTCATAGGAAATGTCCAGCATAGGCACATTTCAGACACAGAAAACACATGAGTGGCTCCGCTGGCCTGGGGGAGGGGAGAGACACAGCAGGTGACTGCTGAAGGAGACGGGATTTCTTTGAGGAGATGAACACGTTCTAAAACTTACTGTGATGGTTGCACCTGTCTGTGAATATACTTAAATCCATTAGACTATAGTGTAAATGGATAACATGTATGGTATGTGAATATCTCAAAAAAGCTGCTTAAAAATACATAAATTGTCATATATAATCTATGATACAAAAACATCTTATATTTGTTACTGTATTACAATACAATAACATAGTTTTATTACAATTATAAGGTATTTACCATTTCTTCAGTATGGTAAAATAAATTAAGAGGTTAAATAGATGTTTAGGCAAGAAAAACACATCCTTAGTCAAATATGCTCAGAAAACTCTGGTTTGAACCAAAGCTTCTTTACCATAGGATTCTCAGCACATACGCATTTCCCATACCAGTCTCATTACAGAGCTCACTGTTTATAAAGGATCAAGAAACCAGTGGTTCCAAAGGACCTTTTAGAAAAGGGACAAGGCACCTGTAAATAAAGCATTGGCTTTGCCATTCAACATTCATAATCAAAGAATAAACGGGGGGTGAGGGGGGGAATGAATCATGCATCTGTTCCAAAAACGTCACCCAGTGTCTACTACATGCCAAGTATTCCTGGTTGTAGATGTATTCCTGGTTGTAGATACTGGAAGTAGAGCAGAGATTAACATATTGTAAAGGGTAAGACAATTTTTTTAATGGAAATATCGAACATCCCTCTTCTAGAACATCCATCTCTAGTCAAGAAGAGTCACAGGGACTGGTTTTACTCTCATGTATGAAACGACCGAAGAAGAAGAAAAACAGACAAAATCTATGAAACAACAGCATAAGACTTTGGACATCGGAAACCAAGGGACAGAGAGATGAGATACCAACACGGGGAGTCCCAGCTTACTGCCTGGAGAAAGGACCCAGGCCACCGCACAGGATCCGGGATCCCAGACACAGCCCGGGAGTCTTCCCACAAAGTGGAGGGAAAGCGAGAGTCTGCAGGGCAGAGTCAGAGAGAGCAGAGGCACCGGAAAGAGAAACCTCAAGAGGGACCTGCAAGGGGTCCCTCATGAATGTTCCTACCAAGACAGATAAGTGCCATCTTTCCAGAAAACTGTCTCCTGCCCCTCCCACTCAGTCCTTGGTAACACCCCATCCCTGAGGCAACCACTGTCCAGCGTCCTTCTGCAATCCACCAGCCTTGCCTGTCCTAGAAGTTCATACAAATGGAACCACACGAGAGGCCTTTGTGGGAAGGAGAGTCGGCCTTTTTTGCACAACACAGTGTTTTTGCTGCATGTGTTAACAACGCATTCCACTTCAGTGCTGAGCGGTGTCCTGCTGCATGGATACACCGCGATTCTGTTGGTGGACCCCCAAGCTGTTTCCCCTCCTGTGGCTGTGATGATACAGCTGCTCTGAATATTCTGTACAAGTCTTTCTACGACAACACATTTTCATTCCTCTTGTGTAAATGCCCAGGCACAGCAATGCTGCGCCACGGGGGCCGATGGGCACGCTAACTCTGTGAGAAACTCTGAAGGACCTTCGGCGCGGCTGTACCTGTTTTAAACAGCCACCAGTGTCGAGAGTTTTGACTGATCCACACATTCTTGCCAGTATTTGATGCTACCAGTCTTTTACACTTAAGTCATTCTAGTAGGTGTGTGTGGCTTTAATCTGCATTTCTCTGACGGCTAGTGATGGTGAATACCTTGTTACGTGCTTTATGAAATGCTAGGCTTCTGCCCACCTCCTACACAGGTTGTCTATTTTACGACTGAGCTGGAAGGCTTACGTATGTGTTCTGAATATAATCACCTGTCAGATATATGTTTCACAAGTATTTTCTCCCTTTTCATTTTATTAATGTCTTTTGATAAGCAAAAGTTTTAAATTTTGATGACATCAATTTTTTTCCTCTTTGGTTATTTATGTATCTGGTTTATTTTCTTTCTCCTCATGATGGAAAGTAAGGACAATGTTTATTTTTTCCACCCTTATATCCCAAGAGCCTAGAACAATTCCAAGCACATATAAGGTACTAGAATAAACGAATACCTCATTGTGATATAAGAAATGTCTCTTTTCTAAATATTTATAGGTAAAGTGAAAAAAGTGTGAGAGACACTTTAAAATAGTCTGGGAGAAGGGCACATGAAGCCCATGTGCGGATAACAATGAAGGCTGGACGACAGTGACATAGAAATTCAATACACTATTCTGTTAACTTTTGCACACATCTGTATATGTACATGTTTGAAAACGTCCATTACATAACTTATGTTTAACGTTTTTTTAATGCTTTGTCTAAAATGGTATGACTTCTTTTCCCCTCAGTGAGAAGTCCAACCACCTCCTCCTGTTACAACATGGCACTACTACTGCCTCACCATGTACACGAGAAGGAGTCTCTTCTTCAGAAGCATGTTTACGACGGACACGGACTCAGGGAGGACTCGCACACGTGCATCTATTCAGAGAGAATGTTCTAATGATGGCACCTGACACAGTTTTTGAGACAAAAGAGTGACAACTGCATCGATATGCAGAAGCACGATGCTGAGACCCTTTGTCATCTTCCATATAATGGCTCCAAAAACTCTAACACAAAAGGAGAAAATATTTTTATACTTGCTATTTCCCAACTGATTTTTTAAAGTAATGAAATAATGCAGCATCTCACAATCAAGAAAGAACATCGAACGCTCAACAAATACACACTGGGCGCCTCCGTGACAGGACCTGGGAGCGCCAGTCGCCGTCTTTGCCCTCGCCAGGCTCGGGGTCTGTCAGGAGCCATGTGACACACACGCCCGGGAACTAACACAGGCCCGCATGTGAACGCGGGCGACAGGAGCTAAGACTGAGCTGTAGAAACGAATAAAGGAATCATACTTCCAGGCAGTACATTTGGCGAAAAGAGCAGAAATCGCACTGGAGCTCAACCCTGAGGAAACTAAAACTGCTTTCTTTTCCTGGCGGCGCAGGTAGGAAGGGTGACATGCTTCACACGGAAGCCAAGCCACTCCACACCCGCCACGCAGGCCCGTCAG